TTTCTCAACGGCAAAAACGAAAATGCAAAATGTTTTTTATATACGAGGTAAATTGTCGAATGAACTCTAGAAGTTTTGGAAACACTAAAATTATGAATAACACGAACGCACATTATTTTTTAACGTATCTGCTTGGACCGTCAGATAGATTACTTTGTATCTCAAATAAAATTTCAATATAATCTGATTCATTGATCACGACGACGCCTCGTTACGAAGTCCAGCTGGAGATGCTGTGTCTATTTACACAGACTAACGTTTGATTTTATTGGATTTTACACCACAGCATTACATCGCGGGTCCGCGTACTTCCGACACTTCTCAGAAAGTCGGGCTTTATTGTTCTGACTTTGGCATAGTATTCGCAGGTTCACGAGCAAAGATTCCACGTTTCTGCTTATCATCAGCAATTCCATCATTTCCAAAAAGCGCGCGCGCAACATCCATCTCCGACTTATTGTAGCGACTTGTCTGCTTCGCCGTTAAATTGTAATTAGAGTCTCGGGGAGAGAGCGAGAGGCACTCTACTAAGCGAGAGGGAGAGAGAGAGAGAGAGCAAGCTTTTCGGAAATCATCCATCTGCGCGCTCGCCATCTCGCAACGCTTCACTTTGAAAACTACGGGCGCAAAACCAATCCTCTACCTCGACATTTGCACGCGCACGGGCAGAGGTCGTTACTTTAATTAGGCACGGCAGCGTGACCTCGGGCGGCGATTTACGGAAGCGTATACGCGCAGCAGAGCAGCTCACGCTCTCCCTTTGCGCGCGCCTGAGCGCAGATCAAACGCTGCGCACCACGACAACGACAACAACACCTGTCAGGTTAAAATATAATCGAGAAAATCAAAGGGGCGAGAGATTTCGCGCGACTAAAAGCCTCTCTTGTATTAAAAAAAGAGAGAGAGAGAGAGAGAGAGAGAGAGAGCGAGAGTGAGTAATCACACGGAGAGTGCGACGACGACGCGTCTTTAACCAATTCTCCGCTAGAGTAATTAATTGTATAATAGCATTGAGACGACGAGATTTTTTTTACCGAGCAGAGAGCTGCCCCGATCGCTTGGATATTCTTTCTCGATAAGGGTGGATTATTCCTTGAGGAACGTCATTTTCGCGAACGGAACGTCCCGTCAATTTTTTTTCTTTATTCTCTGGTATACGCAAACCCGCAAAGGTGTTTCAGATTTTTCTACTCGTAATCGTCGTTCGCTGCCAATCCTTTGCGAATACGAGGATTCGCAACGAAAACATTCGGGTGCGTAACTGGTTGAACATCGAGTATAACCAAACAAAGTTAAATGTTGAATATCTTCGACGTCGCTGTATATCGACGCGGAAAAAGCTTCGAAGAGAGGCGACAAAAGAAATATTCAGATTTAGTTCCACTCGAGTCGGGGTGCTGTGCGAGCATATCGTTGCATTACGCAAAGTGACAGCCTGAGCATCGGCTATGTATATATAGGGTGTTACCAGGCGCCAACGAAGCCACTGCGTCGCTCGCGCTTTGATTAAAAGACTACTCTTTTTTTTTCGTTCAAATGCTTCTCTCTCTCTCTCTCTCTCCGCGAGCTGATGTTATCAGTTGCGTTGGAAATGAAAAAATCGATGGGTGTTAATGTTGATGCAAGTTTTTTTCTTCTTTCTATCGACAGATTATTTTGATCGTTAATAAATTTCGAATGAGACTTTCAGCGCTGTACGAGCCAAGCAATTTTCATACACAATTCATCGATAGCTGGCCGTGTTTGGCAACCAAAAATCATTAAGTGGAACAAAGATACTTAAAAGAAACTTTTATCGAATTTTCTTTATATATTAGCGTTTCGTATTAGAATAAGTTAATACATCGCACTGAGATTAACGTGAAATGTTACTCATTGCTGAATCATTCAAACACACCGCACTTATAAAAATCGGAAAAACACGAAGAAATGCTGCCCAACCTCAAACATAACCACCCCCTCCCAAAAAAAAAGTCATATTCTTAGTCTTCTCAGCGCGCAAACAACAAGCCTTTATCTCGCAGTAATATTCCGTAGAAGCGATATACATCACGGTCGACAAAAAATGAAGAGGAGAAAAAGAAGAAGAATCCTCGCTCGCAGCTCGCACTAGGAAAGAGGAGAGAGAGAGAGAGGCGCTTGCACATCCCTACCACTCTTTAAACAAGGGGCGCGAATCAAACGATTGGTCGGCGCGGTACAACGGAGGCGTGTCGTGTTTATATCTTTCCTCCCTCCTCTTTCCGCGGCACGATTCCAACCCCCTCTGCGCAGTCAGCGCTACTGCTTGCGGCACAACGCTCGACTCGGAGAATCTCCCTGAATTTTTATAATCGCGCTATTATTATTTACGCCTCGACGTCGACTAGCCTGTCGCGCGGGCGGATGTAATTAGGCGGCACGCGGCCCGTCGATGAATCGACCTCTCGAGTGCGCGCGATCCCACCGTGGAGCGACCATTATCCCCTCGCGTACACTTGATACGAGGCTCGCCCTCTCCTCTCTATCGCGCTCGCTCGCCGCGACGCCGGGAGGCGAACGGGCGCGTTTTAGCGATGGATAATCGCCTCGCACATTAATGCCGCGCTCATGCGCTATTCACTCCTACTTTGATGATATTATACTTATATCGCCTCGGCGAATTTTCGCCGACGCTTCCAGATCGAAATTATTGCGCGCGCGCGCGTTGCTGCGATCGCGAACGCCAATTTTATATTTATCGGGTGCGCGGGCTCGGCCACACAAAAATAAAGCGCGCGATTTTTTATTCTTTCTTTCTGTTTTTTTTTTTTTTTTTTCTCGAACGTTCAAGTGGTGGACTCACCGAATGCACGCATTCTACCGAGTGTAATCTACCCGAAAAACGGTCTGACATATCGCTCAGCGTTCTCGTGATACCTCTTTTTGCCGAAGGAAGCGCTGACATCGATCGAGACAAAAACGCTGTTATTCGTGATTTCTTTTTACGCGATTTTGTTGAAAGTTAATAAAAGAACAAAGAATCTACATTGAAATTCAAATTTTACGAGTCGAAATACGTCGAGACCTATAATTTGGTCCTGTCTTCTGCTCGAAATAGAGCTTTCTAAATTAAAATTTCGCCTCAGCGTGTGTGAATTTCACAGTTTCACTCGGGACTTGTTTATGCGATACCACAATTTTCAAAGCTCTGCCGATATTGCCAATAAGAAATCTGACGTTTTCGAAAAGTCGTCCCGAATCGAAGGATTCGTTTTCTTTTTCCGTGGAACTGCTTGTCTAACAGGTGTACATTATACAAGTGCAGCGATGTAATCTCCAGCGTCGTAAATCACGGACTCGAAAAGCTGCGCAGGTCGAATGGTTTGTTTTAAGGCCTGCGCCGTGTCGTAAAAAGCGAAAAGCTGTGAATGGATGAGCACACACGGGTCGCCGCGAGTTTATCGCACCGTGGGTCCTTTGATATCGGCCGCGAGCGGCGCACAATGGGCAAACATGCGTATACGCGTGTTTGCTCGAGGGATGAATTTAGGAAAAGATCGGTCGGGATTAATATTGTACCGGGCGGATGATGGGAAGAAAGCGCTTTGACGATGATGTAGATGAGTATATATTGTTTGAGAATTGTTTGAGCTAAAGATTGCGGCTTTTAAAAGTTCTCCAAAACTTTTATTGCGCAAGGTTTCGCTCGAGTTGTTACTTCCCCAGCCGGCCTGCGCGATAAAAACGAGCCTGGCGCTTTCGAAGGGATTGTCAGATAATAATTTTACAACTCGCAAGATAGCGGCATCCGTGCCCGGCAGCTGGCGCACCGCTCGTCACTTTTCTCCCTTTTCCGAGAGTCACAAGGACAACACACCGTTCCAATTGATTTCCATTTTAGCGAGAGCTCGCCCGTAACACTTCGTCGAATACCTTTCGATACCTTTCGATATCTTTCGCGACGCGTCACGGCGAGCGCGCAGCGATGAAAATTGCGCGCAAAGTCAGAGGGCAAAGAGAGAACGGGAGCGTGAAAGTGAAGATCGGCCATCTTTAGGCGAGCACAAAAGGCGTGTAATGCGAGAACACCTTATATCTCCCCCGCGCGTAAGGTACTCGACGACGTGCGGCTGACGGCTCAATTATCCTCTCGGGTCACGAGAGGCTGCACGTTATATAGTGTTTAGTATGGCGCTGAGCAAAGTGGAGAGAGTGGCGGATGCGAGTAAATAGGGTTAAATGGGAAATTAGAGGTTGACGTCGGTATGAGCTTCGAGGTATAATGAAGGATTGAAGCAATTTTCGTGATAAAAAAAAATAGAAACACTTCGCCTTACTTACGAAGGTATCGGAAAAAAGAAAAAGAAGAACAAACTATTCTAGTGATCGTTGTAAGTTTCCGTAAACTGGTGACGTAATATACTCGCTCGGTTTATTGACGCTCGAATTTTCGAGTTTCGCTACGCTAGCGCGACGAATAAAATAGTCGAGCGTATACGTGCGACAGTTTCAAATTTTATTTCTCCGTGAACAAATGGAAAATTGAATTGCAACATGCACACCGCTCTCTGTATAACTTTTGAAAACTCGATTGCACACCACCTGCGCATAGTTGAGGCGCGCATTTCGGCAGTCGGTCATTAATGCCAAACTGTGGCGGCAAAGTCCGTTGTCTATTGTTTCGACACCTTATAGAGAGCTTATCCCCCTGAGCCCGAGAGACCAACGCTCCGCCGCGTACGCCATGATTCGACCTACGTACAAACTTGCCGGCAACTTAGCGCCGCCGCCGTGCAGCTTATTCGGCGCTTGTTTGAGTTTTAGCGGCTTTGTAGCCATCGGCCCAATATCTATTTCCAAGTTTCAGATCTTGATACGTATGGCAAGTTTGACGCGATTGTAAATTAATCGAGCGTTGTTATGCACGTTAAAGCAAAATTGGATTTTATTGAACGACTCTGGGCGTAAAAAGAAATGTAAAAATAATGTGGCTGCTGGTGACAATTTTAAAGGATATAAAGAGAAATTAATGATTTGCTTTAAAAAGGTATTCTCATTTTTTCGATATCAGTCATCTCGCCAACGTTGAACGGTGGTTCGTCGTCTTTCACCATCCAAACGTCACCTCCGTTTCCTTTTTCCAGAATTTCAATTGTAGCCGCTGCCACGTTGCTTGGACTGCAATTAAACCGTCACTCATCATTTTTCTATTCATGCGCTTCGCACTACATAAAAACATTCTAAACCCACTCTTGAAGCTTTTGCTTTACGTGATTGTCCACCATTTCAAATGGTATAAAATCGTATACTAGAAGGTCGCGATCACCAGTCGTTGTCATGTCCGTATGCGTCAAACCTGGACAGATACACATGATGCGCATTCCGATCGTCTTGTTATGCTCCTAAAAATCATCACACTTTAATGACATATTAATTTATCATCGTTTATTGTTTTGCTTTGAGAATACCTTCATCGATCTAACAAACGAGACTACGGCGTGTTTGGTTGCATTGTAAACTGGGATTAGAGGTATATTTATCAGTCCGTATATGGAGCCCACGTTAATCACAGTACCACCTTTGTGACCCTTGTGCGTTGCCATACGATCGACCGCAGCCATTGTGCACTTTACAACTGCTGTCTAAAAATTAATTAAATGATTTGATTTGTACGTTAACTATATATTTAAAAACTTACAAAATTGATATTGATCATCATTTCCGGCTTCTTTTCAGCGCAAATACCAGCATTATTAATAAGAATGTCAACGTACGATTTCATCTTTGAAATCTCTTCGTATCGAGCTATAAATAAAAATTACTATACCATAAAATTTTTCCCGAACATTATATTATTTCTTTACGAAATACTTACAAATAAATTCTTTTATGTTGGCAACATCACACGTATAATATCCAAACTTATCAGAGTTGAATTCTTGCTCCAATTTCGTCATGCCGTCGATAACAACTTTACTGTCGAATTTGTGCAAATCGAAAATTGCCACGTACTGAATGAATACGAACTGTAATAAGTACCCAATAAATTTTTTTTTTCTTTTTTTGTAGAACACTCACCGCAGCTCCTTTACGCAACAAATGTTGAACGGTCACAAAACCAATCCCTCTAATCCCACCCGTCACGATAGCAACCTTTTGGTGAACGTACATTGTTAGTCTGATTGCATTCGCCTCAGAACTGACTATGAGAAAATAACACGATCGGCTGAGTTTCGACGAGATAAACGCATCCTTATCATCAAGCAATGTTTTTCTGTCGATCAAGGGTTTCAGTGATAAAAACCGAAAGGAGCGGTCAGCGAGCGATGACCTCGCGCATGTGATTTTCACGATCGATGTATCTATACGCGAAAGGTATACGTGGAAGGAATGGAAAAAAACGATTTTTTTTTATTTTATCGAATTGCTATTTATTTACTGAGGATTTATATAACTAGTAAAAATGGAATACGCATTTTTTTCTACGTCAACGTCTTCCCCAACAGCCTACGGTAGTTCGTCTTTATATAAATATACACTTTCCGATCTAAAATGAAAAAAGAGATCAGTGTTTTTCTCAAGAAATATTTTATAAACGAATCAATTCGCAACCTCTGTTGATAATAATCCAACATATTATTGAGGAAAGACTCGTCAACGAAATCGAACAATTTCTTGCGCCATTCCTCGTCGGTGCTTTTTATAATACGGGTACTAGTGTCATACAAGCGCGTTTCGCGTGCTCATCTCTCGTTCGTATTAATATTGAATTTTATGGAATTTCATGCTTGAATCAAATAAAAATTATTATGAAATACATCGCACATTTAAAACAATTCTATGCTTTAACATGCTTAACATCAGTAAAAATTAATTGACGAATAAAGATCCAGTTACGTTGATATTTACAAATTTAATTATAATTTCAAACCTAATAACGTAGCAAATCTTTAGATGTTAGCTACTTAGCTATAGATAATGGGCAGTGTATCAAGCTCATTTTTCCTTTCTTTCTGAAGAAATCGTACTGTCAGATGTAGCTGACAATTTAATTTTCTTTACTTTTTAATATATTTATCTGCGATTTAAAACTTTTTTTAGGATATCATTATATCAAGAGATGTTTTCTCTTTTCTTTATTTTGACAAAAATAATGGAAACTGGAACTCTGTTTCGGGTTTCGGCTCTTTTGAAGTACTTTTCGCAAACTCTATTTCTACATTTTTTTATAGTATTACATTATATTATATAGGGTGGAAATAGGTGACTGGCAGGTAATCACTTTTTTATATAGGAATTCGTGTTTGTACGTCCTGGACATAAACAAACAATTCGGATGCCAAAGGTTTGATTATGTTTCTTGACTGAGCTTATGATCACGACTGCATGCTCCATAGCACTGTCAAGCGATATTGGTGCTGGGATGTTAATGAAGCCCAGATTTGAGCCGATATTGATTATCACACCACCTATATGTTTATTCAGACGTTGTATGGTTGATATTGTATTGCCGACTATGGTTAACTGAAATTTTAGGAAGCATGCTTTATGATGGTCAATTGACAAAGAAATAATAAATATTTACAAAATTTAGGACTATTGTAGAGTCGATATCCTTATTATTAATCATGGCAGCGTTGTTAATTGGAATATCAACGTTATTTGTCTTTTTAATTACTGGTTATGTCTGGTGCGTCTTACGCGCTTATTTTTTCTGCCTTTTTTCGCATTCATTTTAATGCACTAAAACATAGATCAATACTTTTATTGATGAAATTGAGAATTCAAAAATTCAATAGGCATTAAATATTCTTGTGATTTGATATGAGATATATAGCTAACGATATTCTTTGTTGGTAAATACATACATGTTAATACTCAATCGTGATTTAAAACCGTTACCAATGCAGTTTTAAGTTTGTATCATCCGCAGTTCTGTGGTGGACAAACATGAAAAAGTTTTAAAGACACGATAAATAATATAATATAAATTCGAAATTTATCATAATTTTCTATAATCATATTTTTCACGATATAAAAACTTTGGTAAGACGTTCACAGTTGTAATTAGAGCATTTTTTTTAATTTTCCAATATTTTAGTAGCTGGACAAAGTCGTAATCACTGTACAATACTTTATCATAATACTCTATCAATTTATATCTTTTACTACCTACTTTGTTAATTCGAAGCTAAAATTTCGCATAGAATAATATTTAATGAATTTCTCTATCGAGGTGTCAGTCGGTTTTTATTTTCAAGTTAGTCTGAATAAATCAATCGGTTCATATTATTGATATTATTATTTTCATGTCAACTATATTGATACGCTTTTCGAAAGTTTAATCATCTACAAAAATCTACAGTCATTTTTCATGAGCGTACATAAAACATATATACTATTACGTAACAATGATCACGTGACTATATTTGGGCCAATCAGATCATGAATAAACAGGCTTTACTTTGTTAGATTCTCTTTTTATAAAGAGAATTTACAGAGGATATTCGTATAGCAGCCTTCATACATATTTTTAAATTCTGTAAGGGTTTCCACTTGTATTTATTTTTCGTCAATTCTCGTTTAAATTTATTCAAATGTTTCAAGACAACGTGACTATCGAGCATAGCTATTAATCTATAATACCGACAAACTGACAGGAAAACTTGCGTTAAATAAAAATTCCGATAAATAAAATGAATCGATAGGTCCTCAGAAATATTAATTCACTTTGACTCGATACTTGAGCACAACAGTTGTTGTTATTGTTGTGCTTTCTCTTACGCAAATCAGTGAAGCGCGAAAAAAAAAAAACACGATAACGAGTATTTGATATCAAGAATCAGGCGAATTTTCTACGAAGGTCTTTGAAGTCAAGAAACAATTTATGCGTGAGAAATCGAACAAGAAGAAAAATTGATTTTTATTTCAGCGACATTACAAAATCAATTACGAAGAGATCCGCATCTTTTCCAGATCCGTCTCCATCGCCACTGGATAAGCAGGCTGATCGTTTTGCGCCAGCCAGACATCCCCTTCTTTACCTTTCTTTATGATTTCCACGATCGCCTTTGCCACATTGTCTGGCCTGCAAGCAATTGAAATTCAACTTAAGAGTTATTAAAAAAAAAAAGAATAAAACACTCAAATCCGAACAGAAATACATACGACTGCAAGTAGACGTCCAATGCTTCCTGGATCGTGTCCGAGTAAACGAAGTCAAACATGTCTCTCCGAAATATATCATACCCGATCAAACCTGTCTTGGTCATACCCGGGCAGATACATACGATTCGCACGCCGAGAGTTTCATTGTGTTCCTGAAAATATGTATTTATAATTGGTTTTGCCGTTGTCATTTGATTTGACGTTCTCGAAAATTGTACCTTCATTGATCTGACGAACGAAACAACGGCATGCTTGGTGGCGTTATAAACCGGGGCCAATGGTTTATCGACTAATCCCAAGAAAGAGGCTATGTTCACGATTACACCACCTTTGTGGCCTTTACTTTTGCGCATACGTTCGACAGCCATCATCGTGCCGTGAACTACTGCTCTCTGTAATCCATAGCGGTGGTAGTCGTTGACGTAGTGGAACAGTATTCTCGAGGAAATGAAATACTTACAAAGTTCACGTCGATCGACAAATCAATGTCTTTGTCGTTGACAACAGCTGCATTGTTCACGAGAATGTCGACGTATTTTTCTGCTTCAATACCTTGTCGTAAACGGCTTGAACATCCAACACAGCGTTAAAATGCATTTTCGACACTCCGTGCGCAAAGTGCGTCTTTCTCGCACGCTCGGCAGAAAACGTGCGTTGAAAATCGCACTTTCCACACGTCGTATCAAAAAATACGGTACGGCACATGTTCGGGAAAGAGTTTCTCGTCTCGTGTACCCTTCCACCCTCGCTTCGCTCGGGCGTAAAAGCCACACGAGACAAGAATCTACTTTCCCGCACTTGTATCGTAATGTACTATTACTTTATAATTGGTTCAATCGCACCATTTACCTTGAAATTCTTTGGTATTCGTTACATTGCAATTGTAGTACTCGAATTTGTCCTTCTTGAATTCAGTCTCCAATTTCTTTAAGCCTTCAACGACCCGTTGATTCCCAATTTCAAATATATCGAGCATGGCAACGAACTAAAAATCGTACAACTTCTAGGGAAATGTGATAGGGCTGGCGCACGTTTGTTCGATGGAAACGTACCTCGGCTCCATTTCTCAACAGATGCTGTACGGTAGAAAAACCAATACCACCAAGGCCGCCAGTGACAATTGCAACTTTACCCGTGGTCTCCATGTTGAAGTGAAGCGCGCCGAAAACTGCTGCGTGCAACTCGTGCGAGATTCCGCTGGGATGTGGCGAAGGAAAGTGGCGCGGACGGCGACCGCTCGGTACACATATTCACAATTAATCGAGGTTGTGCACGCGATAAGCCAATATCGGCAAAAGTTTCGAAAGCGACGGGGCCCGGTGCAACACGCGCAAAGCCATTTTATCTCGGATACAAAAATAGCAGAAAATAGCAGCCGCGTTCTCCCAAGTATCTCTCGCTTGTCAATTAATTACGCTGAAAATGTACGCATCAAGTATTCGGCAGTAATGTAACTCTTAAGAAACATCCCGAGCAAGACAGGAGAGCCGCTCCCGTAACGAGGGAAGAAAGAAAAGCAAAGTCTGAGCAGAGAGAAGATATCGATCGGTAATAATTAGCTGCTCGATTAAGTTGGAGGAGCAGATGAACGGAGCGCGACCTGTCGAGTTAAAAAACTCCTCTGCAGTCTCGCCAGCTCTCGTCGGCGGTGCTAATCAATTCGCCGACGGCGAATGCTCTTTTTGATAATACGCTCAGTTATTAATCGCGCGGATTTTTTATTTTCTTTTTATTAATTTGCGATCGTTCGTTATCGGACGTGGCTCGGCGAACGAGAAGCATCTCTCGGCCGAAAGTCCGAAGCGGTAATTTCCTGCCGCTAAGCGCACGGCGGGGGAACAGTTGACAAGCCAATAAGTGTTAGCTGCACCTTCCGAAGCTTCAAATCCGCGTAAAAGTCCGAGTTGAAGGCGCAATATGCCGTCAAGAGGCGCGTGGCAACCCTTTCTTTCTTCGCTCTCTCCGCGGGGAGGCGTATCCGGGATTAAAGCGTAAAATATTGT